AGCTGCACAGCTCAGGCAGCAGCAGAGTGGTGAGGAGAAAAGAAAGCTGTAGTAATCCAGGGCTGCAGGAGCCTCTGCTCCCAGCACCTGAGACCATTCTGACTTTGCAGTATTAGCGCTATCTCCATAGTCCTTGTGTGAGAGCCTTTGCCAGTTGCATTATGTGGAGCCTGTTTTCCAAGAGTGTGACTTGGCTTTTGCTTTTTAATGATTTAGCTATTTTCAAACATGGAAAATACGGTAGTGTCTTACTGATTATATGTGAATGCATGTAGATGTATCTCCGGTAAGATGCACTGGGTCTGGAATTGAACCTGGGGCAAAAATATATCCTGCCCACTTATTCCCACTGGGGTAAGACTGCAGAAAAGGAGCACACTTGCGGATCATGAAGGGGCCTGCTTCATGTGTTCACTGATACTTTCTAACCAGTTGGGATGGCAGGTCCTACAACAGCAATATTTCTCCCTGACTTTTTGCGGGTGTGTGTTTTAGGTGCTTTTCATTTAATTGTTGTATTTTTCTATAAAAATAAAAAATGTGAGCAAAACTTAGCTATTGTTGCTGACTTACCTTCCATCGCTTCTCATTCAGCCTTCTGGACCTGACTCTCGGAAGATTGTTTTGAGATGGTCAGTTCAAAATGTCAAAAATGAACTAACAATAGGGCAACCCTTAATTATAATGATGTAATTTTTTGAAGATTTAAGAAGAATTCTTACTTTTTAGAAACATTAAAAAAATAGAAATGTAAATTTCCTAAAGGGCATTCTGTTGGAATTGTAAAGCCCCTTTGAAAAATATTTTATCTTTGATTAACATGTATGAATTGTGCATATGACTGGGGTTCAGTGTAAAGATATTTGCATTCATACAGTGTGCACACGGCAAATTCAACTTCTTTTCGTTCATTCTTCTCTCCACACTTCTCCCAATTTTTAAATATCACTATTCTATCTTGAGACTGACTTTATTTAGCCACCACTTAAAGAAAAAATGTGGTAGTTATGTTTTTTTGCATAACCAAAATATGATAAGGAATTGGTTGCAAAAGCTCATATGTGACTGCAGCCCTTGACCTTAATCTCTGATTTTAAATACTTCTTTTATCAAAGTAGTTTCATTCTTTTATTCATATGTGATATAAATTTGAACTTAGAAATATGTAATGAGGAATACTGCTTTTTCATATTTCATATACTGTAGATCGGTGTAAAACCTAATTTGAAGGGGTTTTGGCTCCTGAAAGCATTTCTGAAGACTGTTACAGGCACTGCTGCAGAGAGGGAAGGAAATCCTGTGATGAAGTGGGGGATGCTGTCACCTCAGAATCAAAGTTGAACCAACTAAGCTTTTCACCTAAACTCTCCCAGTCATCCCGGCTCTATTCTTTATCTTCAAAGTCTATAGCTTCTTAATTGTTTCTATGGATACTAGATTGGAGGAGAAATGAATCTGTTATAGTTACATTGAAAGGTTATGACAAGCACATCCCTGAGGGGTGTGCTGCTTATTCTCATTTTATGGAGACTTTCTGGTGGCCAAGTCACTGCTCATTTCTGAATTTAACTGGTGAGGTTGGGAAGCCATGTGAGTGTGAAAGCTTTCCTATGGAAAGGAGGTAAGAAATATATATCATTGCTTAAATGCTTGTCTTTAGCAGTTTACCTGTGTATTTTTATCCCAAACCGTGTGACCTATTCTGTATATTTATTCAGAGGTCTAAGGTTTTTGAGACAAGGCCTCACTCTAGTAAAGGCTGGTCTTAAATTCATATTCTCTTGCTTTGACCTCACAAGGGCAGAGATGACAGGTACCACTATATCAAGCAGCAGTTATTTTCATAATTAAAAATCAATTTCAGCACTTAGAAGCAGCAGTGACATCTTTGTCCTAAACCATAACCTAACTAAATAGTCTTTTGGCACTCTGTAGATATGTACTTTGTAGAAGTAGATATGAACTTGGTAGAAAGTACACATGTAGATATGTAATTTTTGTGTGTATTTAATCTATATATCTATAGATTTAATCTATATATCTGTCTATATGTACATATGATATAGTATAGATATAGTATAGCTAGACACACATATATCTGTATGAAGATGTAGATACAGATATATGTCTTTAAAAATGAAGAAAATTAATTAAATATATTTGATAACAGGAATTAATATTGATTGTTCAGCACTGCTTAGTGAATGAGATTTTTCTGACTACAAGGGACCTGTAAAGAGGAATCTTGCACAGTTTCAGGTATCTGGGCCCCAGATTTTTCTGGACTCTTTGGAGATGTGGAAAGAGACATATGCACTGGAATGGATGCAGATAATTATCTGGAAAGGAGCCAGGACCATGATGTAGTGTGGTGGGTACTAGTGTCTAGCTAAGTTTCCATATATAGAGATCTGTTACCCATGAAATTAATGCCAACAGTTTATTTCAAAGCCAGTCATTTGGAACTTGGAATTTAGAGTAATACTATAAATGGTGGTTAGGTTCTTCTGCTTATACTATATATTATACTTGCCCTCCATGAAGCAATCCAAAAGAAAGTTGAAAGTACTGGTAATGATGCAGAAACTACCATTACTTTGCAGGACCAGATTCTGCTCTGTATTCCCTCAGTGAAACAAGGAGATGCATTAAAACAGCAAAATAAATGAAATAAAAATAAAAGGAACCTACAAGCAACAATTTCACAGTATTTAAGTGTTTATGCAAAGCACAAACTAAGTAGAAGATACAAAAGGCAGGTCCTATCACCAACCGACTACATGCGGGGCTTGGATATCACCCCTAACCTCTTTCCTCCCTTAGGATATTTGTAAAATAAAAACAGTGCTCCCACAAAATCTACATTTAAGAACAAATGTGACACCCCTTCCCCTATGCAAACCCATGCAGGGAGAGAAAAGCACAGCACAGTGCCAGCTCAGTTCTTAAAGAAAGAAGCATAAATAAAGAAGCCAGCTTCCAAAGCGTTTCACTTTCCCCTCTCAAACCTTCATGCCCTTCTCTTTTTAGGGAGATAAGCAACCGAAAAGGTGCCTACGTATTTCCACTTTTCACTTTGCTAACCCACCTGCACCTTCACCCATTCACCCCACCTTCATTTCTGGTGGGTGAGCTGCTTTCTGATCAAAGGCTTCCCCTCTGCCTGGAAACTGACTTTCAAATCCTCTTGCCTGCTTTAGAGTTTTGTTTCTTCCGCCTTTCCCTCCTTTTCCTCAATTATTATTTTCCCATCTACTGGCTCGTTCCCTTTAGCACATAAAAACACTCTAGTCAGCTCTCACTTTATAAAAGCCCCTCTGAATGAGATAGACTTCTGCAGCCACTCTCTTGTTTCCCTACAGCACTAGCCAAGCTCCTTTCTGGAGCTTTGTGTGGCTGTTGTATCCACGTCCCCTACGCCCAGGCTCTCTGGAATCCACTCAGATCACTCCACTGAGTTTCCTTTGTTAGGCTACTGCTGATATTTACACTGCCAAGTGGCATGACCCTTTTTCTGTCTTCATCCTCCTAATGTACCCGCAGCCTTCAGTTTAGTTCATTAGTCTGTGCTCTGGGATAAGCACGTTCCTGGGCTTCCAGGACTTCTGGAGTCCTTTTCTTCAGTATTTATCCATGCTGCTGCCTCCTCTTATTTAAAGGGAACAGTAGTTCAAGACGTAGCTCTTGAGTTTCTTCTCTATTCATATTTCCAGGGACATCACTCCTTCTGATCCAGAACGGGACAATAATAACATTTGTGTCTGTCTCTATTCTAATCTCTTCCCTCGAGTTGAGACCGGTGCATCCAACCGCCTTACCGACATCTTCATTTGGATGTATCATACACATGTCAAGCTAGACGTGCCTAAAGCCTCAGTCTTGGCTGCTTGCCTGTTCCCAGACAGAAGCAAAAGAAACATATGCACTCTTGTTCATTTTCTACTTTAAAATCTGAGAAAATGGCATGATCCTCAGTTGCTTAGACTCCAAATGTATAAACATCTTTGATCTCTCCCTCCCTCTCTCTCTCTCTCTCTCTCTCTCTTTCTCCATACATCACTTAGTGTCGGGGTGCATGCTAAGAAACACATAATTAGGTAATCTCCTCATCATGTGAGCATAATCGAGTGGACGCACAGATCATTCACTGGCGGAGGCATCATGATGTGATCAGGAAAGACAGTGAACATGAGATGCCCGAGGCTACTGTCCAGGCCACACTGTTTTACAATAAACCTTTTTTTTGTAAATAGAAGTACTTTAAAATAATGACTAAAAGTATGGCATGAACCTGTAATACAATCATTTGTTAACCACTGTCATATGTGATGAACGGTATGTAACTCCATGTGGCATATTATTATATGACTAATAGCATAGTAGGTTTGTTTACACCATCACTGTGAACTTTCGTGGGCTATGACATCACTAAGCGACAGAAGTTTTACAGGTCAATCATTATCTTGTGGGACCAGTGTCATATATGGGGTTCATCAGTATGCAGTACCCGCCTGTGTGCAGGCGCCTGTGTGTGTATTTCAGTATACATCCATTAGCAAATTCTGCTAGTTCTGTAGAGAACACTTTACAAATTTGGCCACTTCTCACCATATCCGCCATCACCACACAGCTTTCACTTTAACTATTTCAATAACCTTCTAAGTACCCTTCCTAGCTTGCCTGGCCTCTGTACAGAAGGCAGAGTGTTAATGCCTGCTAAAAGTGATCACTTCTGTGCTCTGAAGAATGCTTCCTATTATATTTGGATTAAGTTTTAAATCTTTCTCACCATTCATTACAAGATCGTTCATGAACTTGCTGCTGGTTACCTCCGTGAACTCATTTCCCACAAATCTCTCTCTGGGTCACTTTATTCTATTTGCACCCTACCCTAGACAGTTTCTCAAGCTCTGTGGCCATTGTTCCACCTCAGAGACCTTCACTTGCTGTTTCCTGGCCTGTGCCATCTTGTCTCGGGTGGCTCAGGGTTGCCTACTCACAAAATCCCGATTGAGTCTCCTTCTAGCGTGAGGTGGTGATGCTGGTGATGGAGACAGGACAGGATATGTTGGACAGCGCAGCTAATAAATGAAAAGAAATTATACTTTTGTGTCAAGTAATGGTATTTGTTGTGCAAGAAAATAAAGCAGCGCAAGAGGGTAAGAAGTGCTACTTTAAATGTAACAATTTAGGGTGTTATTTTAAATGTAGCAATATGGACTGTCTGGTAAGGTGGCAGTTAAATGACAGCCATGAATAATTGGAAGAAAAATTTGTCTCTATTTTGCAAAACTTGAGTGCCAGATTCTGTGAATGAATACAACTATACTTTACTTTTCTATACTTTCTTTAGTATTCTCCTTCTCATGGACCCTTATCAATTTCTCTTAAATTATGGAATCTTTTAGTAAGTGATACATGATACAAATTAATGCTCAAAAGATTTGAGACATATTTCTTTAATTTAGTTTCCTTTGTGTGTTTAGTTACACACAAAAGAATGAGTGTTACCAGATAATGTGAATTTTTACTCAAATTTATTTACATTCTTGCCTTATTTTACCAGTCATCCCTTCCAAACTGATAAAATAGAGGTGATAAGCAGGCATGTGTTATCTCTTGACTTACTGGAAATACATTCAGGGTCTCACCAGTATGATCTCAGTATATATAGTTTCACATATTCTTAGTCATATCAAGTCTATTAAGAGGTTTGTTTTGTGTTATTGAAAATAGATTTTGCATCTTATCAATGTTCTTCAGCAACTGTAGAGCTGGACTATGCCTTCCTTCCCTTTACTCATGAGCTGGTTCATATTACACAACCCCTGAAAGCCTTCTGTCTTAGTTTGTTGGGCTCTATAATAAAATACCTGAGACTGTTAGCTTTTAAATGACAGAAACCTATTGATCTCAGTTCTGAAGGGTGGGAGGTCTGAGATCTGGGCTGTAGCGTGACTGTCTGGTGAGAGTTCTCTTTGGCTGCAAGATGACACTGCATTGCTGTGTCCTTATGTGACAGAAGGTAGAGGGCAAAGAAGACATGGCAAGGCCCTACACGGTGTTTTATAAGTGCATTCATTCCAGTCACAAGGGCTCCACTCTCATGAACTAATGGTTTCCCAAGGCCCTCTCTGGTGATTGTCATATTTGGATCTGAAAGGTCCCCAAAGATAACGTGTTAAAAGCTTGATTCCCAGATCGCTGCCACTGGGAGAAGGTGGAAACTAAGAAGTGGGGCCCAGGGGGAGGTATTTAGCCCGTTGGGGGCAGTCCTGCAAGGGATTTTAGGACTCTCATCTCTTCTCTCTTTTACTTCTTGGCCAGGGGTGAATGAGTGGCTTTGCACCTGTGTGTGTCCCCACCATGGATACCCTGACCTAGCACTAGTCTAAAAACAGCCAGACTGACCAGCTGACCATGGTCTTGGATCACCAAAACTGTGAGTCAAAACAAATCTTTTCTGTTTTTAATTTGATTTGCTCATATAGTTGCTATAGCTATGGCAGACTAATAATAGTAATTGAGTTTCAACATATGAATTTTGTGGACCACACTCAGACTATAATATCTTATAATCTTGTCATTAGCTTTGCCTGACTATATATATATCTCTGTTAGTACATACCTGGAGTCGGTTGGATGATGTTGAATTTAAAATTCTTATGTTTGCATTTGCAGTGAGATTGTAGAGAATCTTCTTTTTCTCTGTTTTACAAATTCTCAAATCAGAGTTATAGTAGATCTACAGGAGAATTAAACATTTTCTTTTTCTCTAATTTCTTCTGGAAACAATGTAAATGAATTATCTAGTTCTTAAAAGTTTGAAGAAAAATCCATGAATACGGTTGAACTGATGCTGTTCTGAAAGACAGCACTGTAATATATTCTAATTTTTTTCTACAGTATAATTAGAGTTGTAGTTTCATTTTGCATAATGTTTGGAATTTTATTTTATTACAAAAGTGTCTATTTTATCCTTATCTCTAAGTATATCAGTTTAGAGTTGTGCAAACTATTCATTTTTTAAAAAAAATATTTCTGTATTGCTTTTGTGTATTTATATTTATTTATTTGATTTTAACTTCATGTTTATTTTTATCTTTAGCTCCTGATTACCATAGAATAAATACATTCATTGTTTAATTAGCTTGAAAACAGTTCTTGGGGCCAGGGATATAGCTCAGCGGCACAAGATCTGCCTGGCAACTGTAAGGTCCTGAGTTCAATTGCTGGTACTAAAAAACAAAAAAAAGAGCCCATGGAAACAGTTCTTGAATCAGTTGATGGAGTCCCACGGTCTTGTGTTGTTTAATTCAGTTAAAATGTCTTATAATTGCATTGCTTGTACCTGCTCTTACCTTTGAGAGGCATTATTTTACGCCAGGAGTGAGCCTCATCTCCATGGAGACCTGCTGCTCACTGGTCAGCTCGCAGTTCAGCCCCATCAGTTCCTGCGAGCAGGTGTGTGGATCGGAGCACCTCAAACCCTGTGTTCTCACACACCTGAGTGCAGCTTCAAACCATTAGCATTAACACAAGATTTGAAGTCACTGGATGCTGCTACAGGAAAGAGGTTCTCATCTTTCCCTCAAGGTGCTTCCCTGTATCTTTCTTTAAGAATGGTTGCCTTGCCCTCTCCCCTTTAGAGATTGTTCACGTTTAGTTTCTCCACGGAAACACTGCAGAATTCCAGCTGCTGGCATTCTGTTGTACTCCTGTGAAGACATTCAGTTGTCCTTACACCACTGGTTTGGTCAGTGTCACTGAAATTCACGAGAGAGAAGTGGGCAAACATGTGACTTTACCCACCATCCTAAACTGAGCTGGGGATTTGGAAAACAGCATCTTAGAATTTAGCGGGCTTAGAAAATAAATTCGTAGAGAGTAGTTTCCCTTTGGTATTGGTAACATTCCAATAAAAGAACCCCTGAGATTGAATTTAAATTTATGTATCGTGTCACAAGTAAAGTAACATTCAATTATCTCCAGTGTGGGAGGTAAGAAAATTAGTATGTTTGTTACTGGTTTAGAGATGTAATCTTCCCTAATATCTTATTGAAAGTACCTATTTTTTAAACTATGTTTTAACTGCTTTTCTTTTAGGAAATCTGTTTCAAAGAGAACACTAGACTATTGTGTGTTTTAATACTCTCTGGTTTTTGAAATACTACTGTGTGCTACTCGTTTGGTGATTTTTGCCCAGGCATTACAGGTCTTTTTAGTATTTGGAGGCAGGATGGTCTGAGTATGTTTGAATTGTTGCTTCTCAAATTTCTCAAGCCCAGAGAAACATGGGAAGGAGCAAGTGGATTTCTTCAGGTTTACCCTGTCATTCTACAGGAGGAGATGAGAGAAGGTTAGAGAAGAGGACGCTGAGCCTAGAAGTACCACAGTTAGCTACAGCTGAGGAAAAAGGAGGGACCAGCCTCACAACTGCTCTTTCAGGAAAAAGAAAAATCTTTTTTCTGCCTTAGATGTATGACTGAAACCATTATTATTTAAGATGGGTCAATAAGAGAAAACCATATACATTTATTTAATATAAGTTGCATATGGCATTGGAACCTTCATAAGGAAAGACAGTGTCAATGAAACAAGTAAACCTGTGTGTTTTATATGAATTTTGATGAAGAAGTGGACAGGGTATGATCTAATGGTAATAAATGGGGGGACCTCAGCAAGGCCTGTGTCTTCAGAGATAAGGATGTGCTTCGTCTCGGTGTAGTGAGAGCATCTCTGGAGTGAGGGTCTTTGATCTCCTTCAGGGGAAAAGGGAAAAGGGCAGGATGAAGTCAGAGAGAGACCTTCTTAGGTTTTATGACCTGTTTTTGGAAAAAAGGGTTGGGGAAGCCGAGAATGACCTTCATGCTCTTCCTGTACTCTGAAATGCCACGGTGTCCTGCGCTGGGGTATGGCTTGAACTCCATCATCTCTCTTGTTTTAGTATGCCATCATGCTCAGGGTGGCAAAGGTTCCAAAGGTGGATCTCAGCCTGGCACAGATATCAGATTTCAGTGTGTTGTGAGAAATATCGTTAGATTTCTGATTTTCTCTCTGATTTCCAGCTAATTTCTGGTTTACTTTCCATTTATGTTTCCAGGTGGGATTCCCTCTTCTCTTTCTTCCTTTAGTATATTGTCCTTCTAGGTGTGGTGACCAGCATGTTAATGACATCTTACCTGCTTTGTATTTTCCAGGAATTCTTCAGCTTTTAGCAGTGGATCTAATCCTTGCTTAGTTTCTGGAAGTAATATAGATTCCTCCCTTAAGCCTATGTTAGACTCTTTGGTCAGTTTACTAGAAATTTGGCAAGGGAGGTGGGAGGAGGGCGGAGCTGGATTCAATGGGCTCAGATTCTCCACTTGGGTGAGAAATCTTTGCTATATTTTTATGTAATAACTATATATGTCTTTCCTTTCTAGATATTAAGTTCTTCAATGTTTTACTTTGGCTTACTGCAGCCTTGCACATCAGGCATTCAATAAATATTTGCTGAGTGAATGAACAGAACGATTGGATTTGGAGGATATTCAATTTAACGTGGGCCCTGGATGTCCCCCATAGTGAAGGCGTCACTTTTCCATCTTGGCTTTCTCCCAGTAGCACAGGGACAGAGTTAGCAACTGGTTGTTAAGTCAGACTCATGCATGTACTGTAATGTTTCTCCCCTATCTTGCTCTGGGCTGAGATAGACTTTTTGCCACATATTGCATGCAGGGAATTACTGGCAGACAATGACTCCTTCCCCGGGAGCAAACTCTGTAAATGGCTCCCCACACAGAACCCAGCAGGAAAGAGGCAGGAAGGACAATCAGGTTGCTCAGTGTGCCCTGTTCTGTGGATAAAGAACAATTCCTGACAAAATGAAGAGGTTGAAGCAGTTTGAAGATTTAAAAAAATTTCCTGCCTGTCATTCTGTTGCATGGAGCTATATTCGAATTTTATCTGGTGGATGTGATTCTCTTTGATCAGGTTGGCTGTTTGAAGGGATTTGGAGCAGAATAGATAATCCAAACTTTGAGCATAAATCAGGAGCTGCAGGCTGATGATGCCTGGCACTTTCTTATGATAATGTATGATCAGGGAATGGCAGGAAAATACAGCAGCCTTATCTCCGGGCAGCAGCCAGGGGTGGGGCGGGGAAGGCTCAAGTCCAAAGGAAAAGGGGGAGGGGAGATAAGAACTCAGTGTGATTTTTTTTTTTTAAAGAAATGATGAAACTGAGCAAAATGCAATAAAAATGCAATATTTTAGGATGTGACTGACACAAAATACCAACATAGCCAGGCAAAAACAAATGTGACCAATAGCCCCTTCCCCTAATTGTGTTGTTTGCTGTTAGTATAATTTCAGGGACCATGCCTGTGGAGTCTTCAGTATTAGAATCCTTTTTATGTGAATAAGAGAAGGATCTTGTAACACCTAAGGCATGTAAGAAGGAAAATTCTCACCATATACATACACAGAGTGGTCTGGGACAACTTGTCTATCCTAGAATTAGGATAGATAGATATCCTAATGATTATTAACTGGGACTCCTAACTTTGTACAGAGCCATTCCTCAACAGAGTGCTTAAACAAAATCTATATCCATTTCCTTTGGGGCAAAGTACTCCATGTTCAAATAAGAAAGAAAATGAAAACTGGAGTGGTACTAAATGTATATTATATCACCACTGATTTAGTTTAGTTGTTCTAATCATCTATGCAGATTTCAGTGCCTGCCTAAGTGCTTCTAAATGACCTCTGCCTGCTAAACAAGACTCAATAGATGGGGGAGAAGGAAACAGTAATCTTCTGAATTATGAGCTGCAATCAAGTGACCAACTCCCCTGAAAAACACAGGTATAAACAACCCCACTGATATTAAAAACACTGTCAACTGGATGGCAGTATTTTGTTTACGTTATTCAGTTAGACACTAACCTAACCTGTGGGTAATGTCAGACCAGAAAAAAGCAGAGTTTTGAGGTCTTCTGTTACAGCTAGAATGCCACGGATCAGGAGTTTGAAAGTCTATTTGGACATGAAAAGCGAATTAATGACCTGGAATTAAAATTTCACTCATTTGTTCCAGTTTCCTTATCACTGACCATAGGGAATCATCCTTTCACATTTCAGAGAGAGGCTGGGACTGCCAACCCAGGGAAAAGGACCCTTCCCTACTTTGCTTCTTGGGCCCAGGGATCCTGAAGAATGAATGACTTATTTTATTTTCTGTTGCTAAAATAGAACAGCTAAGACTAAGTAATTTTTAAAGAAAGAACTTTTGAAATCAGGGGGTTGAAATGGATCTTCTCTAGCTTCCTGATACAGGGAATGAAACTTCCACCTCCAGCTCTGGTGCCAAAGGGGTTTTAACAGCAGCAGCTTTTCAACATTTCCTTGACTCTTTAGTGGACCAAAGCCTGGGTAAAACCACATATATGTATTTTGGTCTACCACTTTTGTATATTGGAATGCTTCTGTTTGTGGTGCAGGGTGAAGGAGATTGGATAGGTAACCCCCAAATTGGCCAAATTGTGAATAAATTCAGCTTTCTCTTTTTTATGTGCTTTTCTTATAATGTTGATGATGGGCAGGTAAATGAATACAGGGTCCAGATTGAGAGATCTGACAGGATCCCTGGTAACAATATAATTTAGTGCACAGTTGTGAGTGCTGGAAAGTCCAAGACCGGATGCTGTATCTCTTGAAGGCCATCAGCTACATCCTAGTGTGGCAGAAAAGAAGTGAGTGCATGAAAAAGTGAAAAGGGGGCCCATTTCTGCAACAGCAGACCTATTCCTATGAGAAAGGTTCGATCCACCACAGGATGTAGAGCCTGCACTGCCCAAACTCCTCCCACGAGCCCCACCTCCAGGTCTGCTGCCCTGGGGGTCAGGCTTCCACATGCTCAGGAGAAACCATATTCAAACCACAACAAGCAGCGAGTCCTGACTTCTCTAGGATGCTTACTCATCCCTGTTGAGCTGACTTGGGCACATATTTACTTGCTTCTAGGAACAATATAAACACCAGAAAGGGGCTATTCCTAAATCCTGTTGCTGCTTCTCCCATCCAAACAACAGTGCAAGTGCAGAATGTCTTAATAGCTACCATTTACTGCCCACTTAGCACATGTTAGACACCAATTTTAGATGTTTATGTGTATTATCTTATAAAAGCAGAAAGGGAAAGAAAAGGCTAGATATAAAAATTTCTATATATGTCTGCAATGTTTAAAGCAGTAGCACAGAAATGGCTTAAATAAATAAACCCAACCTTTTCCTCAGCAATTTTCTTCTTGTGTATGCCCCTGAGCTATAAACTCCACTGTGGGAAGATTATGCTTCTGAATCACATAACATTTTACTTCTTTCTCCCTGGATATGGTCTGGGCCTATGATCTATGCAAAAAATCATTTCTCTTGGTTTAATAAAATTGACAAAATATGAAAAGGAAAGGAGTTCACAAGTAACTCGAGACACATTGATCAGGCCATGAGAAAGAGTTCATTTGCAGAGCCCCCCTTTGACTTAAACACATTTACAGAGTACCCCAAGGAGGGCAAGGCCAGCGCCCTGGGGACTCACATGCTTCTTTTGCATGTTGCTGTATTGCAATGTGAGGTTCTCAACCTATACATCTGC